GTGTCATCAGGGCAGGCAGAGAGGGGGACCGCGGAGGAAGAAAACAGGCTTCCTGGTTCGGCTTAGGAATGGATGCGCGGTGACATTTTAATCCGACGCAGAAAAGCTGCGGCTCCTTTTGGGCAAGTCGGTGTGTCTTCCTTTCTTTCCTAAGCGGCCCGGTGGCGGGACCCGAGAGCACACTGTCTCCCGGCAGCACGAATGGCAGAGCCGGCCCGCGGACCCATCCGGTTCCGAAGACCTATTCAACGTGCGCTTAGAAATATGAAAAACGGCCTGGCCACCTCGCCTGGAGAGGACACACGGCACCAGAGGAAGGCCCGCGGGGTAAGGTGTCAGCCACCGGGGTGATGCTGGCCGAACCTGGTTCCCACCACGCCCACCCAGTGGGTGCTAAGGACGAGAGGGGTGTGAGGACTCACTCCACTCAGCACGGGCACACCGGTGTCTCCCTGCCTTGCCCCCTCCTGAACTATCCTGTGCTGGTGGGGAAACTGAGGCCCAAAGGAAGCTGCCATCTGTGCTGAGTGAGGAGGAGACGGTGCCTGCGTCTGCCCACCTGTGGGTGCAGGTCCCCCCGTCCCTCCTGACGGGACTGTACCCACTCGCTGTCAAGAAGACGTCCGGGTGACGCCCTCGAACAGGCCAGAGATCCCTCCCCAGCGCAGGCGGGTGCCGGGGCCACCAGGGTGCTGTGAGGCCGCGAAGTGGACTCACCGCCTGTGTGTGCTCAGCTCGGCCTCACGGGTGAGCGTGGGGTCATTGTGACTGTCATGGTCCCCAGGGCCGGACGGCTCCAGGAGCCGCCCGCTGCCACAGGCCATGAGGTCATGGCCCGACATGAGGGCAGTGACCCCCAGGACCCCTCTGCCCGGGGCTGCAGGAAGCCAGCCCTCTCGCGTCCACGCTCTGTGGTCCTATCAGGACAGAGGAGCCAGGTGCCTGGTGAGGGTGCCCTTGTGCCCCTCAGCCAGCACCCAGGCGGCACCATGAAGACACCCCATGACCCACCTGGGACCCCTGGAAACCACGCCCGCTGCCCCGCGCAAACCCACGCCGTCCGCCGTCTGAAGTCAGGGCGGCAGCGCCAGGCCCTCCAGGGCAGATGCATAAACCAGCGAGTGTGAGGGGTCTGAGCTGCTGTCAATGAGCCCCCCACTCTCCGCCCCCACTTCCGTGAGTGAGGTCGCTCTTACGTTTCCCTACGAGCGCTGTCCTGTCGGGGGAACAGCTGCCTCCCGGGAAACGGAACTCAGGTGAGCGGGGAAGAAACCCAGCCTGGGGTCCCGCAGCCAAACAGGCTACTCAGCCCGGGGCTGAGGTGGGGACCACACGCCCCTCCGGCCTCCCAGGGACCCATCAGCACCTGCCTCCCTCCTGCACACCCAGCCGGCACCCTGGACCCTGGAGAGCCCCCAGCAGGGGGCGGGGGGAGCAGGGACCACCCAGCAGGGACAGCGCAGCCCGCGCCGCCCGGGACCGCTCGGACGTTTGTGGGTGAACTTCCGTGATGCCAACCTTTGGTGTCCACTGGACCCGGCCACACGAGGCCCAGGGACCTGGTCAAGATCGCGGAGGGTGTTTCTGGCTGGACGAGCTCTTCAGTGGTGGACCCAGCAAAGCAGATGCTCCCGCCAGGGTGGGTGGGCGCGTCCGGTCCACCGAGGGCCGGAGCAGAACAAGGCCCGCGTGACGGCCGCCCTGTGCCCGTCAGTCTGGGCGCTGGGACGCCGGCCTTCTCCTGCCTTTGGGCTCAGTCTGAACCCTGACCCCAGCTCGTCCCTGCAGACAGGGGACGGCTCAGCCTCGGAACCACATGGGCCAATTCCTTACTACACACTTATACGTGTTCTGTTCCTCCAATTAAAATACAGCGGGGAGGCCTGGCCGGTTTTGCTCAGAGGTTAGAGCGTCGCCGAAGAGCCCCGGGTTCGGTTCCCGCTAAGGGCACGTATCTCGGTTGCCGTTTGTCCCCGGCCCCGGTTGGGGTCGTGTGGGTGGCAGCCACTCGATGTGTCTCTCTTACATCGATGTTTCTCTCTCTCTCTTCCTCCCTCTCTCCCTCCCGCTGTATCTGAAGATAGATGTAAAAGTGTCCTCGGGTGAGGATTAAAATAATAATAATAATAAAAAATACATTGGTGACACATTGCATGTCTCATGGGCTCCTAGGGGTCCATCAGAGGAAGACTTCGGAAGGGGCACTTTGGGAAACGTATTCTAGCTCACAGACCACCGTCCGCGGCAACGTCACCTTGACACACAGAAACCAGAGGGGAAGGGGCGCCCGCCTGGGCCCGGGTGCCCTCGGCCACTGACAGGTCCTCATCCAGGCCTGACCCTCACGCCACCTACGTGGTCATTGCGGACGGGCTGCTATGGACACAGGACACTCTGCCCTGCCCAACACACACAGGTCAGCATCTTGCAATTCCTCGTTCCCTGACAAAACGACGACCGATCTTTATCCGAGGACCATTCCGCCTTTCAACTGCGGGGGACGCTGCTTCCGGGTGGGTGGGGTGTTCCCGCCACCTCCTCCTCTCTTCCTCATTCTGGGGCGCTCCCACACGCCTGCCTACGGCCCGTCTTGCCTCTCTCGGAGCCTCCGAGGACTGTGAGGTACACATTTCGGAAGTTCGGGAAAACACACGTTTGGGAAAAACCATCCTTCTCAAGCTTTACGTCGAAACCGGCTCCCGCTGGCTCCCTCCCAGGTTCGGGGGCTCCTGGCGCCTCCGGCTCATCTCCGGAACATTCTGCAGAGCACTCTCCCCGTGGCCGCGGGCAGGGTCAGCCGGGGCGCAGGGCTCCCGTTCCCTCCTGACCCACGTCCCCGGGGCCCCGGCCAGCACGAGGCGGCACCTGCCTGGTTCCCCGGGCCCGGGGGCCTGTGTCGCATCCAGTGGAAGGACGGGTCAGAGGACACGTGGCCTCCACTCCTGACACAGCCCCCAGCACAGCCCCAGGGGCCCAGCTCCCACCTGGGAGGGGTGTGCGCCGAGGCCCGATGTGAGGAGGCCAGAGGTCTGAGCCCGGGAAGTTGTCACCGAGGAGGGGACGTTGGAGCCGCACTCCGAGGATGGGGAGGCAACCGGAGCACCTGCACAGAGACCCGGATTTGGGGCTCACGCCCCTGCCTGGCTGCCATGCTGGCTCCCCACCTGACCACGGGGCCCTGCCACACCTGTCCCCTGGCGGGCACCCCGGCACCCTGCACGGGCTGCAGGAGGAGGGTCCCCCATAGCGTCCTGTGCCGAGCACCCGCTGTGTGGATGGTGCGGTGTGGCCTGGGGATCTGGAACCCACAGCCACTGTCGCCAGCCTCACGTTCTACAAACAACCTAAACCAGGGAGGGCTGGAGAGCGTGAGGCTGACAGAGAATGAGGCAGGGCCGGGGGTATCTCAGACGGGAGGCAGGGCTCTGGGGCATGTCAGACGGGGAGGCAGGTGCTGGGGTATCTCAGACGAGAGGCAGGTGCCCAGGTATCTCAGACGGGAGGCAGGTGCCGGGGTATCTCAGACGGGGAGGCAGGTGCCGGGGTATCTCAGACGGGAGGCAGGTGCCGGGGTATCTCAGACGGGAGGCAGGGCACAGGGCCATCTCAGATGGGAGGCAGGGCGCGGGGGTATCTCAGACGGGAGGCAGGTGCCGGGGTATCTCAGACGGGAGGCAGGGCACGGGGCCATCTCAGACGGGAGGCAGGTGCCGGGGTATCTCAGATGGGAGGCAGGTGCCGGGGTATCTCAGACGGGAGGCAGGTGCAGGGGTATCTCAGACGGGAGGCAGGTGCTGGGGTATCTCAGACAGGAGGCAGGTGCTGGGGTATCTCAGACGGGAGGCAGGTGCCAGGGTATCTCAGACGGGAGGCAGGTGCTGGGGTATCTCAGACGGGAGGCAGGTGCCGTCTCCCCGAGGAGGTCACCGGGGCTGCTGTGAAGGAGGACATCCCAGGTGGACAGAGCCCCCACACGGGAGGGGCGGGGGATGATGGCCGGGGTGCAAGCAGTGAGAGGGGCAAAGGTGGAACCCGGTCAGGATTTCGGGAGACCCCTCTTGGCCCTGGAGGACTCCGCCAGAGGGCCCATGACCGGGGGGAGGGCCAGGGGCCACCCAACGGCTGGCAGCTCTGCAGGAGGCAGCAGCTGGTCCCGGCCACCGTCCCATCTCCTGCTGTGTCGGGAGGTCTGAGGTGAGGGTCCCGGCGAGGGCGTCCCGGCTTTAACCGCGGGCTGCAGGCCGGGCGGCTGACTACCCCGCGCCGCCCTGCGCTCTATTGATTCCTTGGGAAATAGACCACAATTATTTTTTAAAATAGATGGCGTATTTGTCTACTCTTTGACGCAGCTCCTACTCCAGGAGATAAAGTGTCGGGAGAAAATCAAAGGAAAGGGAGGTGTCCACAGCTCGGATAGATTTTTCTTTTGTGTGCGCCATGTCCAGACGACGGGCAGAGAAGCCAAAGGAACCGGGCGGAAGGGACGACAGAGGGACCGGGAGGGCATGGCCGCAGGGGCAGGGTGCTGCCCAAGCCAGGCCAGCAGCCACGGCCCCGCCCCGTCTGGGTGAGAGCATGTCAACTGCGTCTGAGGCCGGGGACAGCCCCCCAAGCCCCCGTGTCCTCCCCCTGGCCCGCCCAGGCTCGGTGCCGTAGCCCTGGCTGGGTGACATCAGGGGAGCACCCCCTTCCGCACATCAGGGCGTGAGCCGGGCTGCCGTCACTGTGCCCCTGAAAGACCACAGGTCACTATGACGGCCGAACGTGCCACCTCGGCACAGTCGAAGGAAGTCGTCCTCCCAGGAGCCTCGGGGCGCCCGGGCCTGGCCCCCAGGTCTGCATGTCATCTGCGACGGTGATGTGGAAGTTTGGCCCCAGGGCCTCGGGGTCAGCTGGACGCACACAGCAGGGTGTGCAGAGGCCCTGGGGGACCCCGACGGTCAGCACTGCACGGCAGGGACCCGGCCCTCTGAGCCGAGCTCGGCACACCCCCCGCTCACCTGTGTGTATTCTCAGGTGCACCTTCAGGTGATGGGACGTCCGGAAGGTCTTCCCACAGTACGGGCAGTCCTTCATGGCCGCGCCCAGGCTCCGGTCCCGCAGCAGCGCGGGCTGCTGGCCGCCGGCTGCTCTCCCCGCCTCCTCGCCGATGTCTGCAGCGGGGAAATGTTCGCACGTCACTTCACGCATGTCACAAGTTGTCTGCACCGAAACTGCTAACGCCACGCAAAGCCAAACATGTCAGCGCTACACCTGTCTGTTTCACTCTGCACGTCTGACAGAATGCTGACAATTCATGTATTTTCTTGTTATTCTCTAAAATTATTTCATCTTTCCTATCATCGTTTTAAGTAGCATATGGTACCTTTATATTGAACGGAATTAAACAAGGAGAGAAACAGCTGTGTCAGCAGCTGGTTGGATTTCTTCTTTTGCTTCGCTCCTATTAAATTTATTTTTCCCCCCCAAAGTTTAAGAAATGTGGGTGTTGGTTGCATCTGATTAATTTGTAAGACGGACTAGCTGAAGAGTTTGCCGTAGGAGCGAGATCGCATTTGCATCTTATCGAGCAACAGTTGAAAAAGAAAAGGCGTCTCTGCTGAGTCCCAGAGACTCACAGCTACTGGGGGACAGGAACGAGAATCACCCCCAGCGGATCATCTCGCCCCTGTCCCGCCTGGTATCTAGCGCTGGCCGCTGTGGTCTCCTGGAGGGGAGAAGAAACATCTGGAAACGCGGTTCCGCAAATAGCTCCCGACCAACACGGAGAGACACCTCCAGAGTCACGCGAGAGACTCGGCCGCAGGGCCCCGTGAACTCGGAGCGCGGACACTCGAGAGCTCCGTCTGCAAAGCACCCACACAAACGTCCTTCCTGCCGTTATTTGTTGTGTAACCCAGACCGTTAGAAAACGGAGCAAAATTTACGCGCGGCCGCCTTCTGCCTGGAAATGATGGGACATAACAGTCATAAAAACCATGGAAACATCTAGTGCTTGGAGGACACATCATTGCGACACCCGAGGCCAGCCCGGCGGGCCGGCGGCACCGGAGCGGTGTGTCCGAGGCGGCGGCAGGGGCAGCAGCTGACCGCTTGCACAGGCCCCAAGCCCCCGAGGCCGGCGGGGTCCTCGCCCACCGCAGCCTCTGCCCACCCTCGGGGCCTCCCAGTGGAGCCGCTGTGAGGACACGGGGACCTTCTGGGTCATGACAGACTTGCGGGCTCTGCAGGAGAAACCAGATCTGTACCTCGCGAGCCCCGGAAACCGCAAGTCGCTCTTATTCTGCAAGGCCCGCTGCTGGTGACCCCACACTCCGCGGAAGGGGCAGACGTAGAGGCCACGACAGGGTGAAGGCAAACACACTGAACTCGCCGCGGGGATGCTCTGGCTCGAGCGCCCTTTCCGCCTTCCGACTGACACGACGACACGGCCGCCCCAGACCAGCTCTGGAGGGCTGGCCCCCCTGTTCCCCGACTCCTCTGCCCGCCCTGGGAGAGCTGCGCTGAGGGTCTGACTGGCTAGCGTCTGTTTCCTCATCACGTTGCCACGAGCTGAGCTCACCCTGCTGAGCAGCGGTCTGTGGCCGTCCACCACTGACCACGGCCACCGAAAGGGCCACCAGACTGTGTGGCAAGCATGTGCCCACAGAGTCACAGCAGGCACCCCGCAGGCTGAGCCCACCGGGGGCTGCTGCCACCTGTGTCCTAAGGAGCCCGCGTCCCAGAGCCCAGGAGAACTGTGGCCAGATGCCAGCCACAGGCCCTCGGGCCGGGCACCGCTGGAATGTCCCCGACCTGCCTTCCCACCCTGCCCGCCCCAAAGCACTGCACTGGTCTCCTAGCTCAGGTCCCCATGGGTGGGACCAGGAGGTCAGCTTAAAACCACAGGGAGTCTGGCTGGAGTGGCTCAGTGGTTGAGCGTCGACCCTGCACCAAGAGGTCGCTGGTTCAATTCCCGGTCAGGGCACATGCCCAGGTTGTGGGCCCGATCCCCAGTAGGGGGCGTGCAGGAGGCGGCCAGTCGATGTTCTCTCTCATCGATGTTTCTCTCTCCCTCTCTCTCTAAAATATCAATAAAGAATTTTAAAAGCCACAGCGAGCCGAGTGCTGGCTGCAACGCCGTGGAGAGGCCGGAGGCAGGCGGCCGACGTGCTCGGTCGACGTAGAAGCAGAACTGGGTGCCCGATGGTGGCCTCAGGGGAGAGCTGAGCGGGTGTGGGCTTGCGATGCCAGAGTCCGGCAGGTCCTGGGCCCCACGTCCGAACACGGGCCCCTGGGCACCCCGTCGGCCTCCACCTGGCTCGCGTGTGAGGCCGCAGCGGGTGTGGGTGGGGAAGGGACAGAGAGGAGCTCAGAGCGGGGCAGCCCTGGGGAGCTGTGCCCCCCGCCGCCCCGTGGACCCGCCCCGGGCACAGCCATGTCTGACCGTCGTCACTGGGACGGCATGGGCCTGTCTCCCTTTCATCTCTCCGTCCTGGCTATGTGTGGCCCAATAAAGAGAATACATTTCTAAGATAAACAGCTTTCTTTGCAGATTTAAGAATCTAATTTTCACTCTACACAGAAATGGTTTTGGGGGCCAGAAGGCTGCGGCGTTTACTCTCAGACTAAATCCAAGTAGAAAAACAAACTGAGCGGCGATGAAGGGACTGTGGGTGGTCCTGGGAAGTGTCCGGCGCGGCCGAGAGCCAAGTGCAGGGACGGCTGAGGACGCCCGGCCGGGTCTCGTGCTGGGGACCGCGAGCACCCGGGGGGCTCGCTCAGAGGGCGAGACCAGCCACTGACGTGGGCCCGCCCTGGGGAGGTGTTGACAGCTGTCCGTCACCAAGATGCCCCAGGATGGGGGCCTGAGGCTCCGCCTGGCACCCCACACCCCGCCAGGGAAGCAACCGGGGTCCTGGTTACAGAGAGACCTCCCTTCCCCGGCCCCTCCAGGGCACTGGTGGTGGAAAGGAAGGAGCATGTTTAGTGTTACATCTGCGACCCTCGGCCAGACCGTCTGTGGGTTGGTGTGAGCTTTTTGAGAAATGTCCTCTCCCACAACCTGAGTATGTTTTCCCTCCCACCAGACACGTCCTCTGAGGGCTCTGCAGAGGGAAGGACAGGGGACGGAGCTCGGCCCAGACCTGTCGCCTGTTCCTGCATGCTCACCTGTGCAGAAGGAATGACCCCGGGACCACCTGACACAAGCTGGAGGCGTGGTCTCCACACCCCCGGCCCCAGCCAGGTGCTCTGGGCCACGCTGGGGGGGAAAGGCTGGGAAATCGCCCCGGGGCCCTGTTTCTATACTCGACCCCGCTGAACAACATGGGACTACTCCTCAGACACGGAGTCAGGTGTGGGTGCGGCGGACTGCCTTCCGGAGGGACCAGCCTGGACCAGCCCCCCTTCCCGAGCTACAGCCCAGACAGGTGAGCTGTAGCAGGTGCCAGAAACCGGCTCCCTCTCCTGCTCCCGCCAGCTGGGGCGCTGGCTGACACAGAGAAGACGAACCCCGTCAGAGCAGGTCGTGCCTCAAGAATATGTTACTTGGGGGTGACATCAGACAAAGCACACCCTTCGTTTTGTCCCCTCAGGGTCAGAAACCATGCCTCCCACACTGCATCTGCTTGTTATAACCCTCAAAGTAGACAGCAAGTCTGGCCGGCTTCGAGGTGACATGCGTGCGTGACCCCCAGCAGCCCGGGGAGCAGGAGGGGCCACGGCTAAGGGCCGAGGAGGAGCCGGGAAGGAACATGGCCGTGGGTCAGGTGAGAACCCCCAGCATCACCGAGACAATGCAGTGCTGCCGTGGGCGCTTACAAAGACCAGTTCCAGCCGGACGCGAGGAAAACTATGGCCGCTGTCTGGACCATCCCCGAGGCTGCCTTTCCTGCCGTCTACAGACACGAGGGGCTCAGCACATCCTAACCAGACTACACGTTCGACATTTAAAGACGTCATTTATAAAATAATTTTGTATTTTAAGCACAGGTTGGCCCCCAGGTTATCTTTAAACACAGAGCCTCCTTCGCACATGTTTGGAACAGGCTTGTTGGCCGGGGGGGTGGGCTGCTTTCCTCTGGGTCCCTCAGGCCTGGCTGTCCTGAGGCCAGTCCCTTCGCCCCTCCCTGGCCCTGGCTCCAGGTAAGCCCGGCTGGACTCCTGCAACCCTGTGCTGCTGGGACTCCAGCACCGTCCACACACGGCCGCCCGGGGCCTTTCACTCACCCCCACTGCCTCCTGCTCACAGGAACTGGGGACGGTCCCAGGAGACGGACCACGGTCCCAGGAAGGAGGAATAAGTGTCCTAAAACTTCACCTGCCCCTGCTTTTCCCCGCGTGCTCTGCACTCAGTGAGACCAAGAGACTCGCTCTGGCTGTTGGCGGGAGGCGATGCTGAAGGGAGACTGTGCCACCCCCTGCTCTCCTGTCCGGCCCTGCTCCCCCCCTCGGCAGCCCTGCTGCACAGGGCGGAGCGGCAGAAGCTCACGGCGGAGGCCTCCCGAGTCGCTCAGTCACCAGGACGGGCGCTGACCCGCACCCGACTGTGCATGAGTGAGAAAGTCTTTGTTCTGTTGAGCGAGGGAGGTCTGGAGACTGGTCACTGCAGGAGGGCTCGGACCTGACAGAGAAGAGTCGACCTCCTGGCGAGGTCTGCGTCGAAACCCAGGCATCCAGGTCACCCTGTCCACGCCCAGAACGATGCGCAGAACAAGAGCCAGAGAGGGACCGGAGAAAGCAGAGAGGCTTCCTCTTAAATCATGCCTGTGTGCTCTGTTCTCACGTCGTCCTGCCAGGGAGTCTCACCCTGCACATGCCCAACAGTTCATTTGGGGAAGATTTCCATTTCAAACAGTTACAATGAGGATGTTGGTGGTGTTAATGGTGGTGGTGATGGTGATGGTGGTGATGATGGTGATCGTGGTGATGGTGGTGATGATGATGGTGGTGGTGATGATGGTGATGGTGGTGATGGTGGTGATGGTGATGGTGGTGATGGTGGTGATGATGATGGTGATGGTGATGATAGTGATGATAGTGATGGTGATTGTGGTGATGGTGGTGATGATGGTGGTGGTGGTGATGGTGGGGGTGGTGATTATGATGGTGGTGATGGTGGTGGTGGTGGTGGTAATGGTGGTGGTGATGGTGATGGTGGTGATGATGGTGA